CTATATGACTTTAGTGTATATTTTACACACACGTATAAACATGTTTTAAAAGACACAGGGATTTTTAGATTACTAAATGCCGTCTGATTTGTTTTTGTTATAATAGTTCCGTTTTCACCAGGAACGTTTCAGCTCATTGTCTTACTAATTTAGCAAGTATTGTATAGACCACTTGTATAAAATAGCTAACAAAACCTCTTTAGTAAGTGACTGTCAGGATGACTTGAATGTGGTCTGTCGGCAAAAAGGGACCTCATGTCGGGATGTAAAGGCTAGACAAACAAAGATACATCAACCAAAAAATGGAAGCCACTGGGTTTTCTTTCCCTCCGTGAACCAACAAGTTTGCCTCGCCTTCAGATCGGGAAACAAAAAAAAAAAGAATTCCTACCAGACGTATCGAATCGTAGCCCCCCTTCTTGGACTCCTGGAGTTGTTGAAAGAAGGGTTGAAAAACGCTCGCCTGTCAATCATTACCTCAAGTGATCTTTCACTTTCTCCGTGTGAATGAGGCGACAAGAAAAGCAGTAAATACAATCTTTGTGGCCGATAAACGCTGGGTGAACCAGGGGTTAGACCGCACCAGGAACGGGTCCATCAATGAGGGAGTAGCCGTCACTCGGAGAAGAGCTTTTTCATTAACTATTCACTGCGACATAATCTTTACAAATCGTTACTCTTGTATTCAAGACGTTTCAATTTATTTATCATTTTTGTCCGTATTTCTATGATTCGCATAAATAGTTAGGTTTGTGAATAATGGCGTTCTATAATTAATTAATGACAAGCTTTGCCGGCTTCAATTGGGTGTAGACGAACGAATCGTGGCAGACGGGTATAGACTAGTTGTGTCGGATCGGGGTACTAGACCGTAGGTTAGGGGAACTGTCCCTGTTTAGTTAGGTAAACAACCAACGGTTAATACATCTAAATTTTTTAATTTGGCTAGTGTGTGTAAAAAAAAACACAATATACCTAAAACAAAAAATTTACAGAAAATGCTACGACTAACACACCTAAATTGTTACCTTTGGCTGTTGTGGTAACAGACAACCAACACACATACAACATTACCTTTAGTATGTGAAAGCCTGGACAGTGGCCAGTCGCCTATTTCCTTCAGCCCGCGTTCTTCTGTCTTTAACATTGGATTCGTTCCCTAAATTACAACCCAGAATATGTGATCGAGAGACGCAACAGTGTGTTGTTTCTATTCAAAGTGCTTCACCTCACTAATACAGGCATAAGTGATTGGGGGTGCTCATACTTCTACTTTCGTTTTGGTTGTAGATAGACTAGATATATTTGTCTGATTTTCACGTAACGTTTTCGATATACTTTAAAAAAAAACTCAATATCTTGTTGACATTGCCTACATTTGAAACGCTGTTGAAGAGAAGTGTCAGTACATCCTAAAGACAACTCGCCTGTATTGTGGCGAGCAAGGCTAGCAGAGCTATGTTTGTCCCCTCCACGGGAGGTTAAGCCTGCTGCAGCATCCGGGGAAATTGGAATGCACCTCCATTGTCACCCGAGGGGGGCTGACATCTTTAGAGTGGGGTGTTGTTGCTGTAAAGCCAAAACACACACGCTGTCAGCGCTCCCACTTACCCGTGGTTCGTTGCAACAGGAGCGTCACAATCTGCTGACACGTCGCTGTAATCGTTTCTGCCCCCACCCCCATACCAAAAACACACAAAAATATTTACTTTCCATGCTGGTAAAACACGCTTTGATTTTGATGTGGTTTCAAATGGTTCTGGTACTCATATATATCATATTATCATATAACGTGATTCATTATAATTTTAAACGTATACATATAATTTCCCGCCCCCTTTACTTGCAATTAGATTTTTTATCCGAAAATATTGAGAAAGCTTACCTTTCAATTTGAACATAACTTTAATAAGGAACAAGATGTCAGTGGAATAAATGAACAATTTAGAAGAAGAATCTGATTTAAGCTGTATTTTGGCGATTTTTACCACGTTTTCTTTAACTTGCTTTCTCTGTGTGTTTATTTATTTATTTGTTTGTCTTTCCAATCCAATCTTGCGATCGAAATTTCTGGCACTTCCCAGTTAGCTAGCGCGCTGAAATTTTCAGGGAAGCTTTCTTTTGGATGACCATTGAATATTCAATTGTTATTATTACTAAATTGATCAATGGAAACATTTTATTGAGCATTTTAGACCGCTATATAATCTATATATATAATTCTCCTCTGCTAGCCATTACAAAAAAAAAACCAGCGACGCGTACCTCGCGCGCAGTGAAGCGAACGATCACATGTCGCCACAGGCTTAGGGGCAGAGAATTTAGCTTGAACCGAGTTTAAACTTACAGGAGGTAGGCCAGTTTGGGGGAGACGATATGGTCGAGTGGTTGGGCACACGATTGCTATCCCACTCGACACGGGTTCAAATCTATGTGTTCTAGTCAGTAACGTATTCAAACAACGTGTTTTTTACGAGTTGTCTTTTTACGAGTTGTCTTTTTACGAGTTGTCTTTTTACGAGTTGTCTTCGTTTACCCAAAAAAAGTGAAAAGATAAAATCGATAGCAAGATTTTAATGCAAACAAACAGACAAAGACTAAAAAGTAGAAAATAATAATCATTAAAAAAGTTTTTAAAAACCCACGTTTTCTGATTGAACTAAAAAGTAGAAAATAAATGCTATAGGCCCTACATCACAATAATGCAAGCGATCACTCTACTATAAGCGAGCAAAAACGTGGGGCGCCGTGATTTTCTTACAGTTTCTAATACTGTTGACTCTCTACAAGCTCCCTAATAAAAGTCAATAGTATTATCTAATCAATAGTAATATAACTTTTACTTCGGCGCCCCACGTTTTTGATCGCTTATAGTAGAGTGATCGCTTGCATTATTGTGATGTAGGGCCTATAGCATTTATTATTGCATGAACATTTTTAGTTCACGCCATGGTCTATACATTTAACACACCTCTAGGCCACATACTATTCATTTGACACAAATCTAAATAGTATAGCAATTAGTGGCGTCACGGTGTATATATACACATTTTTAATACCGTTTTATCACTCGAATAAGTTAACTGGACTAAACATTGTATCGCAATAAAATTAGCTGTTTTTTTTTCTCCTTTAGGTCCACTTTATTCTCCCCACGTGTGTCCGGTACACTCCCCTCCACCCTCACGTGGTGTCCGCTTTACTCCCTCTTCTCCTCGTACATTAGCCGACATGCATCTTGTATTTCACACTTCATTTCTTCCTTTTAGAAGAAAAAAATCTCATTCTCGTAACGTTTTCAACAAATGGCAAATTAAAAATATGAGTAGAGCTAATTATGTTCTAAAGAAATGTTTCATTGTGGCTACAGCGTTTGGTTCTGCTCAGTGGTGTAAGACAATTGCCTGAGATTTCAAGTTATTATCAAACGCCCTTTTTTATATTATTTCTTTATATTAAGGCTTTTTGTAAAAAACCTTTTTCAGCTTGCCAGGATTTTTTCAAACACGAGCCAGCGAGTACATTTCCGGTGCGTATCGCTATGAGCAACCACAGCGGTGTGTGTCTATCGTTCAGTTCATAGACGTGGGGAGGGGGGGGGGGGGGAGTGGGATTTGCTGGGATTGCGAGGAGATTTGTCCTCGTAATACTGCATGCAGAGACGTTCCCCGGCTGAATAGACACCACGGCTACACGGAGCATGGAAGGCAATTAGCCGGCATTGTCCGGAGACAGCGGCACCGTAATCTTTGAGAGGAGTAGCGTACCATTATCATTGAGCCCGTAATCTTTAAATGCAGCGTGCAGCTTTAACCTTTTCGCTGAGAGCGGTTTGTCTGCGTAAGGTGAGGAAAGGGGAGGGGGTGGGGGTGGACTGGGGGGGGGGGGGTGGAGACACAATACCGTTGTCCCATTACTGCGATCAAGGCTGGCGCCGATACGTTTATTCTTTTAAAGTCCGGCTAATCAGCCGGGGAGCCGCTCAATGCCGGGGATCGGGCTCGGGGTCTTAAGACTGTCTACATGCGAGTGGGGTCTGACCTTGGAGGGCTTTTATCCTGGGTTCAAGAGATCTGCGCATGCGTAATACATGCGTTTGGTGTGTGTTTTATAAACGAAAGCGGTTTAATCTCGGTGGTTGTGTGTTAAAAACCTCAAATGGGAGCGAATGTGTGATCACTCCTTACTCTCTCTGTGACACGTGACCCAAGTGCTGACCTGGAGAAGGGGGGGAGGATGTCCTCACCCCGACACGAGCCAAACTTCACACACGTCCAGCCCAATTAAAGCAATCAATGCGCTCGAGTTGTATTAATGGAACAAGTTAATTATTTCAGCAGGGTGGGGAGTGAAACAAACGACTTTACCGTGTTAGCTGGTGTCTAAAGCATTCATCGTCTGGACGTAGACTCTGTGATTTGTCGGCCATCTTGCTCTAAGTGTTTTGTCTCGTCTATTTTGTTCTTTACCTCAAGGTTAACTGACTAAAGGACTCGAGTGTGTATACAATCCTATAGAAATTAAAAGTACATGTGTGATTAGAATGTCTCAAAATGTTAATGGATCACAATCAATAATGGCATTGGCCTAGAAAAGTCTCAAAGTGTGCTTTATTATTATTATTTTTAAATCTTTGCCAGTATAGTCAAAACATTACTAAAAAAAAACTTGGTTGTATAAGGTTTATTAGGTCTATGTCAACAATAATGTGAAAAAAAGCCTCCGTGCCTACTGTTGTTAACGTTGTTGAATAAATTGAAATTGACCGCCTCCTTCTCATCTACCATTACTTCAGTGTCTAGATGTCGACTTTATGCTTGAACAACATTTCCCAAGCTACACCAGAGTTTTGAGTTCCCAAGGTGAAACTTCTCTGTAATTAGTTGCAGGAGTTTGTGTTGGGTTTACTGGAACAAACTGCGTTGTCTACATTCATTAGATGTTCACTGTCTATACTATAAAGCATTCGTTGATTCTATTCATTATCTTTTCTTCCTCAGGTGGGTACGGTGGTCAAGGTGGGAATAAAAGCTACGGAGGACAGAACAGTTACAGTGGTCAGAACAGCTACGGTGGTCAGAACAGTTATGGTCACCGCGGTGGTGCAGGGGGTGGTGCTTCAAACAGGGACAGGCGCGGGGGGTACCGGGGAGGACAAGACAGCTATAGTTACAGGTGAGTTCTACTTTTTAGCGCAATTTCCATACTGGACAATTGCGATTATTAGCTCGTCATTTCTGGTGATGGATGGATGTGTGTCCGCAGCTTTAAGTCGTATCTCCTCCTCAACGAAGCAATATCGAGGACTAGTTCCAAAAGCAAATATGTTAAGCAAGTTCCAAGGATGATTGTGGGCCAAAAAAATTCCCGGAATTCCTTCCTGGATTTCCCGGAAAAGCCAAAAAAACTCGAAAAAATGCAGTTTTTGGCCCATATCGCGGCAACCAGACCACTTAGCGACTTGAGACATTTACCAATCGATTCCTGCCATAATTTAGAACAATATTGCCGAAGAAAGTTTTCAAAAATATCCTTTCGTTCGGTTACAAAAAATTAATTAAGGAAATTGCGCTTAAATTGTCACTAGACTTTTTATTAACTTGTTTTCTTAGAATCAAAGCTTATCAAAACCTTTTTTCTTTGAGTATTTAGAATTTTCTAAAACTTTGTATGTTGTGATAAGATATTTAGTTGACCTGTAGTTTTTCTCCCCCCAAGAACTAGACTTTAGCGCCTGCTGTGAGGGTGTGAGGCAAGCATTCCTAACATGTTTTTTATTTAATCGCCGCGTCTCTGCAAGCCGTCTAGACATGCGCATTAGTCGGGTTTAAATATCCCAGCACCAGTCGAGTCAGTTCAAGCAGGGGATTTGTGATACATTTTATTTTTTCAACAAGCGGGGACCCGGGTCATCCAATGATTAACCTGCTTCTAACTTAATCTTTTATTAAATTGACCCGCGCGTTTGACAGTAAATTATAACATCCAGAATCATGTTTAGTACACCTGGGAATTAAATTAGCCGCATGTTTAAATTCATAATACCAGGACGCTAATGCCGATGAATGTGTACCAAGATTACATGACAGTCTTATACAAGCATGGACTAGAGAGACGAACGTTAGAATCATATACCAAGGACACGGGTCATTGGTCAAAGGGACCAGCGCACGTGTGCACACGTCACACATTGCGTCACTGGGGGGGGGGGTGAAACAGACCGAGGGGGAGGAGACTCCCCGACGACAGCATGTGAAAACGTCACCATCACTCCACCTCCTTCCCTCCCTTTGACCTCCACCCCCGGGCTCATTATACCACCGTCACGCCACCGTCCGCAATGCGCAGCAGCGGGGCTCGAACGGGATTTCCCCCCGCATTGTGCCCCGGCCCCCCGGTGGGTCCAGGGGCTAGCTGTATTGTGCGGCGACAAATTCCCGACCCCCACGACATCGCTGACACACCGAAGCACGTATTCAGTCGGCGGGCTCTTCCCCTCCCCCCCTCCACCTGATATGACGGCTTTTCAAGTGCGACACACCCCTGTTCCCTTTCTCCCTGCATTTATTCAATCTGCAACACCAATCTAAGAAATATCTTTTTATTTCCCCCCTCTGTTGGGTATTTGAAACGTAGTGGTAGGTGAATGATGAGGCACATCCCGCCCAGACCACGGGGTAGGATCCTCCTACTACCATTGACTGCCCGTGTCCAGCTTTGGTGCTCGCATTTAGAGTTGGCCCTCATGGGGCTGGCTCAAGTGCTTCACACACCTGTAACGCCGGTGGCTCTTTTACCTTGGATCATACCTGGGGGTCTTATTCGAGCCCCACCCCCCCCCCTCTCAGCCCGTCACCCCCGGTGATTTACTCATTAAGAAAGCCGAGCCGGGAGAGATGATGCTGACGAGAGGCTTGAAGACCTCATCAACCACCATGCCCTAAACAGCCGGCGTGGAGAAGGAGAAATGAACAATACATACCGAGGGCAGCTAACGTTTCGGGTTCACTGATCCGGCTGTAAAAAAAAAAAAAATGGGCACTCCTCCCCTCCCTCCCACCCCACACCCAGTGTTCCGTGACAGTTGAGTTGTAAGTAAAGATACAAAGTCAGAGCTTTGTCCTACACGTCCCCTCCCTCCCCCTCGTCTCTCCGACATCTTGTCCGTGAACCGTGACAACGGGAGTTTGACAGGTTAGAAGTTTGAATGTAGTGCCGGTGTTCTGCTGAATAGAACTGACTTGCTATTACGGCCAGGGCTTTGTAAGCTTTGACAGATGTATGAGATAAGCTTTGGTGGCTTTAATTTTTTGTCTTGTAGTAGGCAATTTAGTTGCTGACGGTGAAAGTAATTAAAGTAGGGGTAGTCGTACCTGAAATCATGGTGTCAGTCGGCACGTAGGTACAGTAGGAAGTATACAGGTGACTAGAGGCTGTTAGCTGGACTGCTAACACGCAAGTCTCGAGTTCGAATCCGGGTTCAAGTCAGTATACCGTCCCTGAGTCCATCCAACTCTGATGGGTACCTAACTCACGTTAGGGAAAGTAAAGGCGGCTGGGCATAGTGCTGACCCCACTATCTCTTTATATGCCGAGGTCACAGAAACAAATGAACTCGACTTCTCTTGCCGTCAGGTTTGAAAGGGAAACTTTACTTTTGTAAACTTCAGAGATTTAGTCCAGTATCGGCACCGGATGAAAACTGTTGCCATTGTTGCTGTTGGATTGATATTTTGCTACTGACCACCCACACACCGCTCCCGTAAAGTAGTGGTCAGCAGGAGGCGACTCCCTGTGTTTCTTCACTGACCATCGCTTGGTTTGATGCTCCCTCCCACATCCGCCTTTTTATCGCGTCAGTTCGTGGTCACCGCCTCACCTGAATTGAATGGTCAGATTGTGTTTGGGTTTCAAACCACGGCAGTTCCTGGGTGTCTAAATGGTGCAGCCAATGTGGCAGAAATAAAATAGAAATGAAAGGAATGTATTGTCTGAATATAAAAAAATATGAACATCTCTCAATTTGTAAATGCCAGATAACTCTTGCATTTTATTTACTTTTTTAAATTTATAAATCTTTTTTTTCTCCAAATTTTTTTTCAACTTCCTTTTTTATTTCTTTGTACTTGAGTAAATTTTACAATCATAGGCCAAACGGATTTTTACTTTTCAGCACATCACAACCAAGACAGAGTAGCTATGGCAACCAAACCAGCTCCTACGGGAGCCAATCCAGCAGAGGCCAGCAGTATGAAAGTGATGAGAGTGTGTACCAGTCCTACCCCGCAGCTCCACAGCAGGACAGAGGGTACCCTGCGTCAAGGGTGAGTACTTGGATGCACACCTTGCACACACATGGGTACCACACACACACACACACACACACATCTTGACTAGCATTTTAATTTTAATGACAAATAACCTCTCCTGTGTAAATGTAGCTGTTAATGTTTTTTGTGTTAAACAGTTAAGGACAATATCTTGTAATTTAAATTCTTTGGTAATATTTTAAAATGTAAACTTAAAAAAGAACCAAAAACGTTTAAAAAACCCAAAATAAAACATTATGGCCTTTCTGTAAAAAGTTAAGTACACTTTTAACCTTACGGCACATGGGACAGGTGAAGTAGATCTCACAGATTTCAGTGACCTCTGTATATGAAGGGATAGTGTGGTCAGCAGTATATTTTTGTCCCTAACATTTGAGCTGGGTGCATTCGGACGTTGTACCATCTCGAGCTCAGGATCCGAACTTTAGACTTTTGGGTTAGCAATTGAACGCTCTTACATTTGACCACACTGTCTCATGGGCTCTCTGTACAATGACCTTTTTACTTTTGATTAGTTTTTATTTACTTTAAAATGTCTGTTTTTTTTTACCCAGAGTTATGACGCCAGCAGGGGCAGACAACAACCAGACCACGCCCACAGAGAAAGATACAGACCATACTAGGGACCGTCTCCTTCTGTCACCCATTAAATTTCATTTTTCAATGTATTTTTTTAATAGGAATTAAACTGTATCAAGATTCCCATGTTGCATACTAGTGTAATTATATAACAATAAGTCTTAAGTGACATTTACAGGTCAGCAATAATCTCAGAAATGTATGCTAAATCAGGTTAATTAATCATACACATAAAAAACATAAATGTGTGGAAATTTAATAAATTAAAATGTTTAAAAATCTGGTATGTTGATAAGGAAGGTAGATGTCCTCTACTGTTGTATTGTTGATTACCTCATTGTATTCAAGCTTATGGCATTGTAGACACTGAATGATTTATGTCATGGATTTTTTTATAACATTGTCATGGTTTTTAGGGGGTGAGGATTGATTTATAGTAGCTACCTTGGATGAATGGAAATGTAAATAATAACCTTAGTGTCTGGATTGTTTGTAACATTGTAACTTTCAGTGTCACTGTAACATTTGTCTCCTGGATAATTTCTGTTGGCATTTAGATTCTGCAAGTACCAAGCATTTGAAATATTTTTTGTGTGTTTTTCTATGGTGTATTACAGTATTTTATGTTAAGAATAAAAAAAAAGTGCATTGGGCACGGAGAGGGGAGGTGGTGGATAGCTTCATTTTTCAGTGGTGCTGTTTTCTACCAGGTGTGATGTTAGTGAACCATAGGTCGATGCCCCTTGATTAATTGTAACATTTTTGTCATGTAGATGTCAATGATTTCTGAAATGTTGGTTCATTGGAAATAAACAATTTTTAACAGGCACATTGTATTTTTTCCTTGCTACAAACTACAACTATAATAAATATGTGTAGAGAGAGAGGGGGTAGATTCTTATATGCACCTACTTCATCGAGGCTTTCACATTCAAGCCTGCGACTGAGATTGGCTTTAAAAGTGGATGTTTTTTTTTTGTATGATTAAAAAAAACTACTTCAATATATTTTGTTACATAACTGTGACTTTTAATAATCTAAAAGTACTGATTAAGTCGCGTTTTTTTTTAAAAAAAGTTAGGGCTCATATTTTTATAGCCCTAAAGAAGAACTGCTTCAAATTTCTTGTATATAAGGACTAATGCCTTCATTGAAATAAATGATAAAAATGCAACTTGTTTTTTTTTTCTTCTTCTGTATCTTGTTTTTTAATGAATATCTGCAGAATAGCCTACTTGTCTGAATTATCAATGTTTTGTTCCCCTTGCTTTCATCACTTTGATTTTATTTGGAGTGTCTACTTGACTGTCACGTCACCACTCTAGATTAATTTTTTTTTTCCTTAACTCACTGTCGGAGAAAAATGGGAGTTTCCCGGTCACCAATAGCATTAGCTCTTGTTGATTCCCTGTATTGTGTTGAATCGTTGGACGCGCGCACGTAGTCTCCACGCCGGCAGGTAAGGACCCGGCTAGATGCACTTCATAATCTCCAAGCGGTTTCAACATCTCCGCCGCAAACGCTTTGTAGCGGTTGTTACGTCACTCGTCGGACGCTGACCCGTCGACGCGCTGTATTCTTCCGCGGCTCAAACCTCCCGCGGTGATGGGTCGAGGAAAGAGTGCGGTATTGTTTATTAGTGGGGGACGATTTGAATTTACGGGAAATAGATTTTTTGTTTTAAATGGAGGTTTAACTCAATCAAAGATAAGAAATTGAACTTAAAAAAAAACTGGTGCAAGGTAAAACGCTTGAAAAGATGAAAGGAAATTTTTATCTACATCGTGAGTTAAGTGAAGTTCCATTTTCAAATCTGACGGTCTATAGGGCAAGTGAAGTAGAGTTCACTTACTAAGAGATAGTGTGGTCAGCACTATGCCCAGCCACCTTTACTAACGTGAGTTAGGTACCGATCAGAGTTGGGTGGACTCAGGAACGGTCTACTGACTTGAACCCGGTTTCGAACTCGAGACTTACGGGTTTGCAGCCCATCTCTCTACCGCTAGACCACTCATTCCCTAGCGTTAGGTTAGACGTGACTACTATACATGTCGACCAGTGTTTCTTTCAGACAATTTTTTTCTCGGAGGTGGGGGGGGGGCGAACTAAAATAACCGGGGGGGGGGCAGCAGATACTACTAAAAGTATATTTTTTCAATATCAATTGTATTTCGAAATGAAGACTGAAAGAAACTCCGATGTAGACCAAGTTAACCAAGTTTCGTTTTAATGGCACTGTGAGGTACTAGGCGTTGAGGTTGTCGGATCTCGTTAAAATTTAAAAAAAAAAGATTACAAAATTACAAAAAAAAAGATGAAATTGATGATGATTATTGTTGCATAGATTATGCTATTAAAAAAAAGAAATCTTTCTTCATTTCTGGTTGCAATTTATATTTGAATATCATTGCATTTCTATTCATGTTAAAAATTAATTTAACTTTCATTTTGTAATACAAATTTCACCTTAAAAGGATATTTACAACATACATTTCCTTTGTGTGAAAGACAGCTATAATATATTGAAATCGTTCCTTAATCTGTTGTGTAAATCCATGATTATCCGTCAGTGGAATAAATGCTTTTCATTGGTTCAATTTTATCCCTCTCACACGAGCAGAAGCAAAACAACTCGGTGTGGAAATCTTATCGGGCCCTCTTTAATTTTATTGGATTTGTTTTTGTGCAATATAATTATGTGGTATCGCGCGAAATGGAAATTAATTCGCTGTTTGAAATATAACTTCTAAATTTACAAACAATTTGACTGCTGACCCGAAAGTCTCGAGTTCGAATCAGGGTTCAAGTCCACCCAGCTCTGATGGGTACCTGATTCACGTGTAGGTTTGACGAAACTTACAAATACTATGGCTGTAGTGTGCCTTGTGAAAGTGATGCGTGGTTTGTGTTGTGTTGTTTTGGAAAGTGTGTCTGTTTTATGATGTGTCTGGACGTCTTTTTAGACTGACGTATATGTGTAGTGATGTGGTTATGTGTCTCGACGTGTGTCTGTGTAATATGCTTGGTAATTTGTACCTTTGTAGTGGTGTATGTTGGCTATGTGTCTGTAAAGTTGTGTGTTGGGACGTGTGTCTGTGTAATATGCTGGGTAATTTGTACCTTTGTAGTGGTGTATGTTGGCTATGTGTCTGTGAAGTTGTGCGTGGCTATGTGTCTGTAAAGTTGTGTGTGGCTATGTGTCTGTGAAGTTGTGTGTGGCTATGTGTCTGTGAAGTTGTTTGTTGGGACATGTGTCTGTGTCATATGCTGGGTAATTTGTACCTTTGTAGTTGTGTATGTTGGCTATGTGTCTGTGTAGTTGTGTGTCGGGACGTGTGTCGTGTAGTGATGTCTCTGGATGTGCGTTGGTCTGACGTGTGTCCAAACAGGGAAAAATCCACAGGAGTCCCGTCCGTACACCCCCCCCCCCCCCCGGAAGACAGAACGTCGCTGTCAACCAAGTTGATGAAGAGAGCGACGAGGGAAACAAGAAAAGCGATCACAGAATGCCGTTTGCTCGGGCTGCAAAGAATCCAAACGCGATTCGATCCACCGTCCCTCGTCTTCAATCCCCCCCCCCCCTCCCATCCCAACCCACCTCCCACCCCCCAACCAACTTTCTCAAGAGTCCTTCAGACGTTCGTCAGAGGGGGCCGAGGGGACTGCATCCTAGGGGTCAAGAAGATGGTTGTCATAGTGACGTGGGACTCGAGGATATCGGGGCCTATTCAGCTGGAAGTCTTCAAATAAACTCGCGCACGCATGCGCCGCTTGCTAAAACAAAGATTGCGTTTCCTTCCGGTGTGGAGGTGAACGAACAGGGACACCGCCTCTGTCGTCGTCGCTTTGTAGGAGAAATCCTTTTTTCTTGTTTCTTCTCTATTTTTGTTTTCTTTTTTTTTGTTTTGTTCCGCGGACAAGGCAGATAATTTGGTCTTTTACTTTGTCCACTCATCCCTGATTTCTAGGGTTTATTTTCTCTTTGTTTTCATTTCTCTAACAACAAAAGCTTTTTGAAAATTCTTCTCAATGTGTCTGAGGTACCTGAGGTAAAAACGAAATAAAATGGAACTACTTTTTTTACTATATATATATATATATATATATATATATATATATATATATATATATATATATATATATATATATATATATATATATATATATATATATATATATATATATATATATATATATATATATATATATATATATATATATATATATACTTTTAATTTTGAAATATGTCGCTAGTAGCTTACACGCCGCCCCCCTCTTGCCCCCCCCCCCCAAATAAGTAGAAATAATTTATATAATATCATGGGATGCTTCTAATGTGGTGGCTTCTTTCAGATGAAACAAAAAAAAATATTTCCGTTACTGTCTTTACTGTAGTCTTCTTATCATCACACGCGTCATTTAAAATTTTAAACATAGCCTGTTATTGAAACGATGACCGACCGACCCCCCCCCCCCTCGGGGTTCACCCCAAAGCTGGACAGAGACGCGACACTGGTCATCTAATGAGATCTGATGGCCCGTCCCCAACTGATTGTCTGTCAATGTAAACGGCAGAGGGGGTGGGGGGGGGGGGGGTGAATCCCCCGGACCCTAATGATAGTTTGACCTTTCCACTAAATCAATTGGTAACATCAAGTCCTGCGATCTGATTGGTCCGTGTCCTTCTGTTTGATGGCACGTGGATTATCAATCACGCAAATACTAATTACAGTTCGAGTTGCATTATCTGCTCAATGGCTTTAATGAAGTTTATAGTTCAGACGCTTTCGTGAACAATGTCGCGGTGATGAAGAAGGATTGCATAGTCTCAAAGAATCTGCATTTCTAAGATTTTTTTAAACTAATTTTTCAAATAGGTCTAAGTGTTGTAAGACATTTTCGGTACGAACTAAGCTTATGGTGGACAATAAATAGCCTGAATACCGCCAGACTTTTGTAAAGTTTGGGATGGACAATAATTAGCCTGGGTACCTTAAGACTTTTGTTAAAGTTTGGGATGAACAATAAATAGCCTGGGTACCTTAAGACTTTTGGTAAAGTTTGGGATGGACAATAATTAGCCTGGGTACAGTAAGACTTTTGGTAAAGTTTGAGATGGACAGTAATTAGCCTGGGTACCGTAAGACTTTTGGTAAAGTTTGGGATGGACAATAATTAGCCTGGGTACAGTAAGACTTTTGGTAAAGTTTGAGATGGACAGTAATTAGCCTGGGTACCGTAAGACTTTTGGTAAAGTTTGGGATGGTAAATAAATAGCCTGCGTGCCTTAAGACTTTTGGTACTAGCTAAACGTGGGATGGACAATAAATAGCCTAGGTGCCGTAAGACTTCTGGTACAAAACAGCTTGGAATGGACAGAAACAATGAACACCATCGTATACAAAACTGGCATTTCATTGCTTATAGTTGTATACAAAATACGGATCATTTCTAAATTTAATTGCCTTACAACGCGGTTCGCTTTCTTGAAGATGTAGGGTTACGGTGAAAAATCGATTCGTTGATCAGGATATCATTGTTTTCCATTCCTTATTTTAGATAAATGCTCCTATACTGTGTTCAAATATTCTGTTATTTTACTAGCTTGTCGAGATGTTAACATTTTTTTTAACTAGACCAACTATAACCCGAGTTCACCTGTCCTAATTTATGAATATGCACAGTTAGGGAGACAAATTAAAACTGCTCATGATGTCGAAAGTGTGTAGACTTTTAAAATAACCACACAATGGCAAAAAATACAGCATCGATGATTAACCACTATTTAAATATAGATGGCTACGTTTCAGGGTAGAAACATTTGT